TGACCACCAGAGGGCTGGGATGTGTTGGGGTCCCTTGCCTGCCTGGGTACGGGAATCTCTACCTAGGGTGACTGAGGCCTGGGTGTTGGGCTGGGGCGGGGTAGGGACCTGGACTAAGCTGACTCTCATAATCCCCGGGGCAGAGGGTGATGTGGGATTTCCCTTGTGTTTGCGGGTGGAGGAGAGGAGGCAGGACAGGAGACCTGCACGTGTAACACCCGCGTGGTGCAGCACGTGGGTTGCAGATGTTCTAGTGAGGGACCGGGGTTGCTGGCGGTGACAGTGGGAAAGAGCGAGTTTGCGACATCTAGAGTAGTGTGGGAGGTACGGTGACTGGGTCCCTGGATATGGGGAGTGAGGGGAGAAGAGTTCAGGCCGTGGCCGGATTCTGCCCCTGGGTGGATAGTGGAGGCACCCCCGGGGAAGTGGGCTGGAGCAGATTTCGTGTAAATAAAGATTCATCCTTAAACGCATTAAGCTTGAGGTGGATCAGGGAGGCTGTTGGACCGGTGGTCTGAAGCTGAGGTGAAACCTGGGAACTAACCCAGCGGAGAGGCTCCTGAATCACCGGAGCATACATGACAGACAGAACCTAAGGGGACAGCGTCCTCAAGTGAAAAACAGAACCAAGGGTCAAACCTGAGAACCGCCTGCAGGTCAGATTGCCAGGACTTCATTAGTGGTACCACTTTGAACTAGCTGTGACGTGGGCAAATGGCTCAACACCTCTCAGCTTCAGTTTACTCATCTGTAACAAGAAGATGCCTATTGCATCTACTACACTGGGGTTGTGATGACTAAATCAAACCCTTAGCAGAGAGCCCGGCACTGGTGGACTAGTTATTAACAATAGCCCCTCTCAGGACCTAAGGTTTCCCTCCACAGAAAGGTTACCTTCCACACCACTCTCAACGTCACAAACTCTCTCCTTCCCATGGTCTCTGTCAGCAGCCCAGCCCCCTCACTAGAACAACTGCAGCTACCCTCCATTCTCCCCCACCATCCGCGTGCTATACCAGGCACACGCTACATATGCAGGTCTCCAGTCCTGCCTCCTCTCACCCAGCCCTCAAGTCGCTGCAGAAGCGATATGCCTCATGGAAGGGATGTGCCTCAGATGCAAATGCAATGTGCCCTTCCCCTGGCCAGTATCTTTGGTCTGCTTCCCAGACCGTGAGGGGTCTGAGTTATGCCTATTTCTAGTCTATTTTCTTTCCTGTCTTTCTTCTTGGGAGATTTTTATTGGGTTTATTTCTTTCCCCTTTGGTCAGAACCTGCATGTCCTTTCTTGGCTGTGGGAGGCTAGGGCTGCCTGCCTGGGAGTCATTTTCCATCAGCCCCACCCTGGGCTCTAGCAGCCCACAGGCCACACCTCAGTTCCCACCCCAGGCCCCTGAAGAACACATTTGCTTTAAAGTTTTCTTTGTTTCATTTGATCCACACCAGGTCACAAGGAGAGCAGGCGATGTCTCCGTTTTGCAGCAGAGAAAAACCTAGGCCCCGAGCTGAAGTAGTGTGCCCAAGGGTCAGCCAAGGACAGCACTCAGACCAGACCCCAGACTTAATTCTGGTGAATCTGATCTACCCATCGATCTCGGTATACACCAGAGAAGAAGGATTGAGGCTTCCCGCTCTGACCCCAGTTTCTTATCCTCTGCAGGCTTTGCAAGCCTGCTGGGCTCCAGAGGGAGGGGCATGCAGTGCCCATGATGTCATCATCGATTTAATAACACTCAGAGGTGGGCTTCCAGCCATCAGAGGATGAGGCTGTGTGGAGGGAGCCTTTCTAGCTCATTTAATCCTCCAATGCCTTAAATACAAACACATCTGCCTTCTTTCTGGAGTCTGCTGCTGCCCCTTGAGTGGAGGGGAGTCCAGCCTGGCAGGGGCCGGGCCTTTCTGAATGAACAAGAGAGAATTCTCCCCGTCCGATGGGATTATCAGCCCCCTCCCTTTCCCATCTCACCAGGACACTTTAAAATCACCATCTTCATTCGCTCTTTAAGTTGCCTGGAAACTTGGGTGAGGAGAATAGAGTTAAACTGAGGGGTACACATTTTCAGGATCCTGTTTGTGATTATCTGAGAACATGGGCCCTGCACATCAGAAGGGAGTCTAGTCTAAGCTCTCTGAGTTGCAATTTCAGTGACCAGCATCAAGAAATCTTTCAGCTGAGAAGGTCCTTTGGTATTACGCATCTTGGTGGTTTTGACTTTTCTTTCAGTAGAGATTCCTGCTACTTTTCAATCATAGCTGTATCCGATTCTTTTTTTTGTTTGTTTTGTTTTGAGACGGAGTCTCGCTCTGTCACCCCGGCTGGAGTGCAATGGCACAATCTTGGCTTACTGCAACCTCTGCCTCCCAGGTTCAAGTGATTCTCCTGCCTCAGCCTTCCGAGTAGCTGGGTCTACAGGCATGCACCACCACGCCTAGCTAATTTTTCTATTTTTAGTAGAGACGGGGTTTCACCATGTTAGCCAGGCTGGTCTCGATCTACTGACCTCGTGATCTGCCCACCTTGGTCTCCCAAAGTGCTGGGATTACAGGTGTGAGCCACTGCACCAGGCCTGTATCAGATGCTTTTAAATATACCGCCTAAGATGCGTTAGACACACCAGTCTTCCAGCTCCTTGCCACTTGTTTTGTCCAGCTGCTGTGACAATTGACTTCACCCAGGCAGAATTTAACTGCACCTCCTCTCCCCTTGGCCCCACACCCTTGACCTCAGAAGTGCAGGAGTGTTGGACGCTCCATGGAGTGAACTTTGACCAGCAAGAGACAGGGATTAGCAAATAAAGTTTTCTCTCTTCCTTTTTCTGGACAGACTGGCCTAAGTTCCAGTTCACATAGCCACTTTAAATAAGGTCCTGGGCCGTGCGCAGTGGCTCACACCTTAATCCCAGCACGCTGGGAGGCCAAGGCGGGTGAACCACATGAGGTCAGGAGTTCAAGACCAGCCTGACCAACATGGTGAAACCCTGTCTCTACTAAAAATACAAAAATTAGCTGGGTGTCGTGGCGTGCGCCTGTAATCCCAGCTACTTGGGAGGCTGAGGCAGGAGAAATTGCATGACCCCAAAAGGCAGAGGTTGCAGTAAGCCAAGATCACGCCACTGCATTCCAACCTAGGCAACAGAGCAAGACTCCGTCTCAAAATAAGTAAATAAATAAATAATAAAGAAGGTCCTATAAGGTCTAGCATCCATCCGGACAGGAGTGGTGGCCAGCTCCACAGCGCACTCTCCTGTGTGCCCTCTCTCCTCCTCTCTCACTCCCCCTTGTCCTCAC